AATACGGCGTGGCGGTGCTCTTCTTTTTTGCCTGGGGCGGCAAAAAAGTTAGAGCCGGCCCTGGTTACAGATGACTGTTAGTAGTTCTGCAATTTCATATTTGAGCTCCTTCAGAACTCTCGGGAGAATACCACCTGGTCCTGGTGACTTGTTACTGTTGAATTTATCAATTAGTTCTAAAATCTTTTCCATTGGCACATCAATGTGGGACTCTACTCCACATTTGTCACCCAAAAAGAATAGCTTTGATGTGGGTATCTCCCCCACATCCTCTGCAGTGAAGACCCATGCAAATAATTACGTTAGCACCTTTGTCATTTTGTGCCCCCACTGCCTATTTGGCAGGCTTCCTTCCTTCGATGTGCATAAAAAAAATTGTTAGGTTTTGTGTCTTTAACAAGTTGCTTTTCAAACTCTTTCTTGGCCTCCCTTATTATATTTAACCTGCCAGAGTTTGTGCTCCTTCCTATTATCCTCAGTAGGTTATGACTTTCAAATTTTAAAGGATGCCTTTTTGGTGGCAATTCTTTTGGTCCTTTTATAGTTTTCTCTGATTTGGGGTATACATTTAGGATGCGAGTCTTTTATGGTGTTATTAAAAATAGTCCCCTTGCTGCTTGCAGGCATTTATCTCTTGTGACAGCACCTTTTAATTTCCATCTAACAAGAGTACTCATTTTTGTGTAGTTTCCCTTTTAGAAGTTAAACATTACTATGGTGGTAGTTTTGGTATTTACCCCCCACCCCAAGGATGTTAAATGTAATTACATTATGGTCACTATTACTAACTGCTTTAACTATAATTACCTCTTGGACCAGATCCTGTGCTTCACTTAGAATTAAATCTAGAATTCTCTCTCTCCCTGTGGGTTCCAGGAGTAGCTGCTCCTCTAGGCAGTCATTTATGGTGCCTAGAAATGTTATCTCTGCATCACTTCCTGAAATGATATTTACCCAGTCAAATGAGGATATCTGAAATCACCCATTATTATTGAGCTTTCTGCTTGTGTAGCATCTTCAGCCTTCCTTAGCATTTCACAGTCCCTGTCACCATCCTGATCAGTAGTATAGTTCTACTAAGCATGGAATTTCTATCCAGAGAGATTCTTGTGACACAGTTTGTTTCATTTAAGATTTTTACCTCATTTAACTACTTAATTTATTAAAGGAAAAAAATGAATACACACAGAGAGATGATAGTGATATCCCCATGATAAATTTCAGAAACATATATGGTAACTATTTATCCTGCATTTCTGGCCCTCTCACCTGCACTCTGCCCACTAAATGTTTCTTGGGACACTTATTTAACCATCTGAGAACTTTCAAACAGCAGCCTTAAAAATCAACCTACTGGAGAAGTCTTTCCTCAGTTCTAACCACTTCTCAGATGTTAAATTCCCCTGCAAAAGTTACACTACTTTAAGATACAAGACAGACAGTATTCAGTCTTGGACCAGCAACATAGTAGTCCAATACCATACAACCTTTCCAAGGTAGAAACTGGAACTTTGTGCCAATAGAAGAGGGAAAACTGACAGCTTTTTCCAGTTGGACACACAGCAACTGTTCTATTACTGGTAGGTTCTGAAGGATCAGATCTTAAAATGCAGACAAGTAGTTTTTTTCAATGACAACTAAGATTGCAACTAATCACCCCAAAGCATATTCCAAAATGTTAGCTTCCACTTAGAGCAAAAGATAATAGAAATCAATATGCCCATCCAATATATGGGACATTTGCCCGAGGACCATCAATTAAGCTGAAATTTCTTTCCAGGGGAATGTCTTCCAGTTACTCAAAAGCAGTGACTACCTCTTTTGGTCGAGCTAAGGAGAGACAAGAATAACTCTCATGTCCTGTTCAAAGTGCTCTATCATCTCCTATCTGTTAATCAAAAACCATTGATGAGCACAGAAACCCATATAGGAGGTAAGCTGACTATAAATAACTTGTTAGTCAACCCCAGTACAAACCAAAGATC